TGCATGCGCATTATGCGAACCATTTGATCTTATCCTTCCTGTCCATTGTGTATTTTAAAACGGGGTTATAATAACACACCGGAATGCTGTACTAGTAACGAATTGGCATGTTCTGTTTACGTGACACACCGTACTGATTGGCTGCGTCGGGTGGTGGCGGGTTTAACGACACGTATATATTGACGCGATCTCACCCAAAAACAAACCTATATTATGTATGATATTGGTCACGAGAGCCTACGTGTTAAACTACAGTGGGTTAACGATATGGGTCATAGTTTGGGTTCCATGGCCACAGAATCCTATCTATAATTTATATGTACGGTATATATTTAAAAAAAATTGCTTCCTCATTCGCATCAATGCGTTACACGCATATATACACACACGGCGTGTTATTCTTTCACAAAAGTCGTATGGGATTTACGGCGAGAGATTGTTGTGAAAGAAGTGAAACCTGGACGGGTTCACGTCACAGTCGGGGTTGGGACGTGTAGGGGGGAGTCTTCTTCTTTCGTACGGCTGCTGGTGCAGATTCAGAGACGACGACCCACAGTTTCACATTCAGGTGGTCGAATGAGCCAGCAGATAACCGCATCAGGAGTAGAGCGGAGTGCATCGCTGTGATGATGTCTCCTTCAGTATTTGTGGGGCATTGCGTCGTTTATGCGTTGTCTTTGGTTTTTTCGGTAAAGTCACGTAGGTATAAAATAAAATACATTAAATCACGACGTTTCGATTGCAACGCAAGCAATCATTATCAGGTGTTGCAATCGAAACGTCGTGATTTAATGTAATTTATTTTATACCTACCACGTGACTTTACCGAAAGAACCAAAGCGTATGGATCCCTGCAGTCACGAAAACTTCAAATCATGCATATGTTAACCTGAAGAAGGCTACTTGTGTTGTGGCCGAAACGTCGTGAGAATTGTATTGTCTTATTTTATTTTATTATTTTATTCTCATTCTACGCGGTGACTTTACCGAAAGAACCAAAGAAGATGAATCCTTGCAGTCACGAAAGCTTTACATCGAAATGTACGTGTATATGTTGTTACGGTGTGTTCCGGATGACTACAGTGGCACACTCCTACCGGGGAATTTTTTTAATTTCCCATTTGTGCATCAGGTATCCGCACCTGACATGGTTTGTGCAGTGGATGTGGTTTAGGGTGGACCGTGAGCAGTTTCGTGGTATATCTTCTGCGTCCGGCTCCTTCACAACTCGGTGTCCGTGAGTTCTTTTGAACTCCTATCAGCCCCCCAGGCTCCACCGGGGTTGTATTTCGTATTGTCGAAGGTTAAGCGCACGGGTTCCGGAACGGGGCTTGCGAGACTTGCAAGCGACGACGGCGAAGGGGGAATTATCGCCGTCGTCCTCGTTTAAATTGGGAGAGGGGGGGGGGGGCGACTCTTTTCTTCCATTCGCAGGACTTTCCGTGGAGGGGGGGGGGGGAGTCGCGGCGTTGCGGGTGGACTCGGTTGGGGTGAGAGATTTGTGACACAACACGTGGCCGTGATTGTTAAACCTCCAAGTTCGAGATAACGGTTTCAGAACGGTCTCTATGACCCAGCGACTGTGGCAGGCAGGCAGCAACACTTCCGTGCAGTGTACGGTGAGCGGCATCAGTTAGCACAACCACCACCACCAGCACTCTGTTGTTGCTGTTGTCGCTGGAATCCGCTGGAACGCTGCTGGGTCATCATCACGGAGGCGGGTGGCGATCTCCGGCCACGAAAGCGCTCGCGCGGCACTTTGCATTGAACATGCCGAGAACAACACGGGGCTTTTGAATGCAGCGCGGGACCCGCGCTTACGCTGCACTGGCCCCTTTTGACGTCAACCCGCCGCCGGATGGAGGGCCCAACCACGGCACGTGCGTGGGTCACGGGCGTTCGTCTGCGCGGGGTTTTGTGATGGCGGGAAGAAAACCGACGCGTGGGAGCGTAGAAGTGCAGCACAACGAATGCTTTTCGAGCGCGCCGCCCTCTGCTGGCCACGACGCGGCCGTGCAGGTGGCCTCCAACGACCCCGATTTGGTCAAGGCTGGGAGCGTAGAGATTGGGTGGAGTGCAGTGCAACACTGGATTTTGCCGCACTGCGCTCCGTTGACAACGTAGCCCCGCAGCAGCAGGAGCCTGTGGCACTTGTTTCGCGCATAGTGGTCGCTCCATCTAAGCGCTATCCAGGCTCAGCCCCGCTTGGCTTCCGAGATCTCGGAAACCATGGGGTCCATTCCCGGCGAGATTCCGGCAAATGAGGGAACCTCAGCAAAGATGAGCGTTTTGAATTATATAAATTAAAAAAGAGGAATGATATTGTAGTTCTCTCAGCTGACAAAGGCAATGCTACTGTTATCATGGATAAAATAGAATACAACAACAAAATTAAAGAATTACTCGACGATGGTAGTTATACAAAAATAAAAAGAGATCCCACCAACAGCCTCGTCACACAAACCAACAAAATAATTTCTGATTCAACCGCATTAATTGATCAATCTAAACAGTTTTCGTTGAAACCTTCTGCTGCCAGGCCACCAAGATTATACGGCTTACCAAAAATACATAAAGTTGATACACCTCTTCGTCCCATAGTCTCTACTATCAGCTCCCCCACCTACAAACTAGCTCGTTTTTTGTCTGAAATCCTGCGTCCTTTCACTGGAAAGACCACCTCTGCGGTACAAAAATTCTACTCACCTGGTATCAACAATCAAGGGTATTTCCCTGTCCCCAGACGACCTGCTTGTCAGTTTTGATGTAGTTTCCTTATTCACCAAGGTTCCTGTACCTGACACCATTGCAATCATTGAAGACTTGGTTCATCAAGGACTAAACACTGAGGTACCCCCCCTGGTGAGACACTGTTTAACCAATACATACTTCACTTGGAATGGAACTTTCTACAAACAAACTGAGGGCACCCCAATGGGCTCCCCCCTTTCTCCAGTTATAGCTAACATTTTCATGGAGAAATTTGAGACTGACGCCATCCAGACTGCCACTCTGCGCCCAACCTTATGGAAGAGGTACGTGGATGACACTTTTGTCATCTGGCCACATGGCCGGCCTGCTCTAGACAAATTCTTCGACCACATCAATTCCATACACCCAGCCATCAGATTTACCATGGAAGTCGAAATAGATGGCAAGATACCTTTTTTGGATGTCCTAATTAAAAAGAGACCTGATGGTTCAATGAGCCACTCTGTCTACAGGAAAGCTACCCATACGGATGCTTATCTGAAACCGGATTCCCACCACCATCCATTACAGAAGAATTCTCTCATCAAGACTCTGTATCATAGAGCCCAATGCATATCCGACCAGGAACACATAAGCAGTGAACTCAAGCACGTACACCAAGCTCTTAGGGCTAATGGTTACTCCGACTATACAATCCGCAAAGCTATCACTCAAACCATGAAGAAGAACCCTCTTGAGGAGCCTTTCAAAACCATCACTTTACCCTACATTGCTGGGATCACAAAAAAGATCTCCAAAATCTTGAATAAACACAAGATCCAGGTCCGTTTCAACACATTACATAAAATCCGTGATCTGGTTCCTTCTGTAAAAGATGTGATTCCGGACATACAATACCCTGGTGTCTACAAACTAAGTTGCCTCTGTGGTAGTAGTTACATTGGAGAAACCAAACGCCATATCTCGGACCGCATTCGTGAACATAAAGCAGACCTTAAACACGGTAGGACCAACACCTCGGCCGTAGCAGATCATTGTTCTAATTCAGTAGGCTCACATGCCATTGACTTTTCCAAGACGGAGGTTCTTTGTAAGCCATCTGGCTTCCATGAGAGATTCGTTCATGAGGCTATCCACATATACAAACACAGAGACAATTTCAACCGAGAAGATGGATTCTATCTTAGCAATCATTGGAAAGATTTGATAAATCATTTCAGTTCTTGATTGATTGTTCACGCTTACAGTGCCTTCAGACAGCATACATAAAAACAAATTTCGTCTCCCCCCTCCTCTTTTCAAAAAATAGATGGACTAGTCCTGGCAAACTGCCATAGTTGCGCGTGACGCAACGTTATTTTTATATATATAAATAAATATGCCGTTTTCAAAATAAATTTATGCAAACCGACACACCTGATGATGACCGTTTGAGTTATGGTCGAAACGTCGTGAGAATTTTTTATTGTTTTATATATATTTTGTTATTTTGTTGTTTCTCTTCAACGTGACTTTACCGAAAAAAAACTAAGAAAATGAGGGAGTTGTCGATCGCTGTCGACAAGGCATCACGTTTCATTCATTGCCTTGTATGAGCTTCACGTTCGAGGCTTTTATAGGCTCATAAAGCACAACACGGATAAAAAAAATCAAACGAACAGCTCATGATTGTGTTTATTATATTTATCGGCCGATGCGCAAATGGAAGATTAAAACTCTCCAATGTGCGGCCGCGGTCATTCAGAACAGAGCGTAACAACGCATAACGACGCAGTGCCTCGATCTACAAACACGAAGGAGACATCAGCACAGCGAAACACTCCGCGCTGCTCCTGACGTGGCTGTCCGGGCTTCGCCACCCTGGATGTGAAATTGTAGTCGTTGTCTCTGCATCGACATCAGCCATACGAAATAATAATAATAAGTGATTTACAGCTCCAGAGAACTTCTTTCGCACGGTTCCGCAGCCAACCGTGATCATGAATCACCTCGCGGTCAGGCGCCGCACTAAAGGCCACCAGGGGCCGCCAGTGGCCTGCGGGCCTTGCAAATGAAGAACCACTGCCCGTCGACCTTCGATGGCAGTGTTCCTTCTATGGCGGAGGGAAGACTTTCGAGAGGCAGATTCACTGAATTTTGTCGGCATGGGGAGAAGGCTTTCCCCGCCGCCCTGGCTCTCTCCCGCTCGCTGTTGTCGCCGCTCCCTGCCGCCCACCACACGAGAAACTCCCCTCCCCCCTCCTCACCACCCCGCCGCCCCCCTCCGACCGTCCCCTTCGTCAGCGATCGAGCGAGGGGTCGATCGTCGATGTTCGCGCTGGAGCCGGTCGCGCCCTCCGGGGACCCGCCCCGGCCGGGCGACCTCATCGAGATCTTCCGCGCCGCCTACCAGCACTGGGCCCTCTACCTGGGCGAGGAGCTGGTAGTCAACATCGTGCCGCACGGTGAGCGAAATACGTCGCCGACACGCCACGCGCTGTCCCTTTTGGTCCGTGTACTCGCTACGGCTCGTTCATTTTTGTGTCGACCGGATGAGGACCCAGAGAGGCCAGGGATAATCTCATTTGCATGAGTTACATGTACCTTGGGAATTAGATATACACTAAACACACAAAAGCATTTCTAAATGAATGAGTTTTCAATCGAGATTTAACAGCAAAATAAAAGTGTACTGAAACTAAAAACTAAACTATTTTTTTTATTTTGCAAGGTAAAGCCCACTGAGCTGTATAGCTCTTTTTTAGAAGCGACCTTGCCACAAATGATAGCTCAACGAAGTGGCTTATCACGTGGACATTTAAAGCAGCCGGATACTCTAAACGCACAAAACCAAGAATACCCCCTACGTGCCATGCCCAGCGTGATGCGGCTGATGATGCCATTGATGTCACAAAGCCTCGCACATCACCTCCCGTGCAGCGGCACACGTGGGCATGCTGGAACGTGTTACGTAAACCATGCATATGGATTCACACTGCGGGTGTATTGACCGTATGAACGTGCGTCGCCTGCGTCACAGTGGACGTTAAAGATCTCCGTGATGTTATCAGAAAGAAACAACATTAAGAGTAGGCCGTGCAGGTCGGTGTCATGGTCCGAATTTGTCAAATTTGAAAAATAACCAAAAGCAACATTCGCCCATCACCGACAGACTGATGCCCACTTGCAGGCCGGTGCTTCGTCATCTTTGACATCTGTGAAAAAGAGCTTTATAGGTCATCGGATTCCTACAGTATATTTTGATTCTGATGTTGTGCCACACAGGCACAGCTGTAATTCCAGTCTGTTCTCCTACAACGCGGTAGCTGCGTTCCTGAAGAAAGCAGCGTTATGGTGCGTAACGCAGGCTGAACAAAGACTGAGGCACGTGGGTAGCATCTAGAAGCATCCAGCAGCATCCCAATGCCTTGTGCGATGCTACGCCGAAGCAGCCTATTCGCGCTGAGACGTAGTTCTGTTAACTCAATCGCGTTATATCCAATTCCCATCTGCGTTATAACAAAAACGTGTCCCCTAATACATTAATCGCGTTATATCCAATTCGCGTTATGGAAACACGCGGCGTTACAGGAGAACAGACTGTATCGATAAGAGGCGTGACGCAAGGCGCCTCCAAAAACTTGCATTAAATTGCCACGTAAATCCGCCCCAAAAAAAAGGTAATTAACTTTTATTGTGTGGGTCTCACCGTTCCTCGACGGCGAATTCCGTGCCGCAAGACTCGGGCGCGCCGGCCTGCTCGGCGAGCGCCAAGTCGGTGCTGTCCCGGCGCGCCGTCGTGCGGCTGCAGTGCCTCGCCGACGCGGTGGGGCCTGACGCGTTCCGCGTCAACAACAAGTACGACGACCGGCACGCGCCGCTGCCTGCGGCCGAGATCGTGCGGCGGGCGCGGAGCCTCGTCGGCCGCGACGTCTCCTACGACCTCCTGGGCAGCAACTGCGAGCACTTCGTGACGCTGCTGCGCTACGGGGAGGCCGTGTCGGACCAGGTGAGGCCGCTCGGGGTGGGGGGGGGATGGGGGGTGCGACGTGGACAACAGGGTGGGGTGGGGTGGGGGCGGCCGTCTGGCTGGCTGGCCAGGCACCTACCCAACCACCCAGCTAGCCAGCCACTAAACCAGGCAGCCACCTACCCAAGCAATCACCCAGCTAGCCACCTACCCAACCAAACAGTCAGCCACCTACCCAGCCAGACAGCAACTAAACCAGGCAGCCACCGACCCAACCAATCACCCAGCTAGTCACCTAGCCAATCACCCAGTCAGCCACCTACCCAACCAGCCAGCCACTCATTCAACAAACCAGCCACCTACCCAACCAATCACCCAGCTAGCCATCTAGCCAACCAACCAGTCAGCCACCTACCCAGCCAGCCAGCCACTCAACCAAACAGCCACCTACCCATCCAATCACCCAGCTAGTCACGTAGCCAACCAACCAGTCAGCCACCTTCCCAACCAGCCAGACAGCCACTAAACCAGCCAGCCACCTACCCAACCAATCAGCCACCGAGCCAAACAACCAGTCAGCCACCTACCCAACTAGCCAGCCAGCCACTTAACCAGCCAGCCACCTACCCAACCAATCACCCAGCTAGCCACCTAGCCAACCAAGCAGTCAGCCACCCACCCAGCCATACATCTAACCAACCAGCCACCCACCCAAATAACCAACCATTAGCACGGTTGGCACCTCCAATAAGCACAATTGGCTACGTACGGTGCGAAAGAAAGTTCAGCATACATTCCGTAACGTACGTCACGTGCGACGGCAGGGGGATTGCAAAAAAATCCGCAGGAGCCTGTGGAGGTAAATCAAACCAAATGGGGAGAAACGTGAAAACAACAAAACAAAAACACTGCCTCGCCAAAATCGGCCTCCCAGTGACTTCCCATACGTTTTGCACGAAGATTCGCCTCGCGGGGAAAGCGAGTTCATTAGCGACGGTGAAGCGCGGCGGCTCTGCGAGCGATTGGCTTGAGCAGCGGGCTCTTCCCGGCGGGCGTTGAAGCCTTGAGACGTCGTTCTTGGCACGAGGCTTTGATAAGACGAGGTCAGTGTCGGTGTTTGCGAAGCGGCTTGCCAGGAGAGGGGCCCCCCTCTTGTTCCGGCTTCATCGTGTTCACGATTGGCGAGCCGAGACCGAAAATGACAAAACAGCTCGCAGCAATCGGCACGACTGAAGTTGTAATGAATCAGAGTTGTTTCTTGGGTTGCGCAAGGCTATAGGAACTTGAGAACAGATCAGTGCGACGGTAGAAGTGGAACAATAAGTATTGTGGCCTGCGGTGTGGTGAGTGGGTCCGTGAGTGGGTGTGTTGTTTTAAACCTGCCGTACGGTGTTTGAGCAGCAGTACGGATGAGACAAAAAAAACAATAAGTCGACCAACAAGTCATCAGCGTGGGTGGAGAAATCAATAAGTGAAAGTCACAGGAACAGTGACCACACGAGGAGCAACAAGATGAGTGATGTGGAGGTGTCCGACCGCCGCCGGTAAGCGAGCGAATCGGTGAGTTTGTGGGGTCATCCGTCCACCTGCTTAACGCTGGAACGCTCGTGGCAGGTGTCGCACGCCATGGGCGCCGTGGGGCTGGTGGCCACCGTGGCCGGACTCTTCTCCCTCTTGGGCATCATCCGCAGCCGCACGGCCATGCGAGACTCCTCCTCCTGATTGTCCGTCTTTCACTCACGCAGCCTCAACGCCAAAGGGCTCACACACGCCGCACGCATCGATGCTCAGAGGGGTTAGCCGACCCCGCTTGAGGACATGGGTACTGTGGCGGCCTCTGCAAGGCTGGAAGCGGGGGAGCGGGGGGGAGAGGGAGGTTCTGCGCGTTAAGGCGTCGTCCCCCATTCTCGAGAGGTCCCGTTCGTTAACAACTGCATGCTCGCTCCCGACTTATTCATACAGTCTGTTCTCAGATAGCGCCGCGTGTTGTTTTCACGACGCGACTTGGATAGAACGCGATGAATGTTATCGGGGAACGCATTTTTTTATGACGCGGATGCGAATTGGGTATAATGCGAACGAGCGAACGGAACTACGTTGCGCACGGAGGAATCAGCGGTCGCACGGCTGCCTCGGCGTAGCGTCGCACGAGTCATTGGGATGCTGCTGGATGCTTCTAGATGCTACCCACGCGCATCGCTCTTTGTTCAGCCTGCGTTACGCATCTCACGAGTTTTCGCAGACTCTGCTTTATACATTATTTATTGTGACGTGATTTTTCCGTAACGCGGTGTTTTTTAGGAACGCAACGCCTGCATTATAGAACACGACTGTTCGTACGCACGTGACCCGACCCAAACCTACTTGACATGAACACGTTTAAAGGTCAAGAGGTCATCATGCCATATGCTGTTGATGCCCCGCACCCCCCCCCCCCAATGCCTGACCAGTTTCCTTCCATCTGGTCCGGTGTAGCTACTGCTAGTTTCAAGGCTTCAGGTCTCCTCCCTGGTTGACGACCGCTGGGTCCCGCTCCAACGTCGGTCGATCCCTACACCCCCCCGATGTGCCCACACACCAAACATTCGCCTTACGCTCCCCTCCCACCAGCGCCTACATCTCCCGTCATGCATATATTGTACAAGACGCGTATTCTACTGCACCTGGGCAATATCGTTATATCCAACAGTATACTCTCACAATCGGGCCCGGAACATCTGCCCACCACACAGCGTCGCGGTGCCTTTGACCTCCTTTCCAAAATCATCGCCACGGTGAGGTCGTGGCTTCGATCCAGATCCTGACGCGTGTATATTTGGAGTTGGCATGTTCTCCTCGCGGTCGCGTGGATTGTTCTCCGGGTCCTCCGGTTTCTCCCTCCACGTTTAGAATCAACATCACGTGTTTAGATTATTTGCCTGCTATACATTTCCATATAGGCCACGCCGATGAGCTATCATTTGTGGCCAGGTTGCTTCTGACAAAGAGCTACATAGCTCAGTGGGCCTTACCTGTTAAAATAAAAATCGAGTCGTTTGTTTAATAGTATTATATGAAGCATCGCGATTTGCGCAAGGTTTCCATTTAAGAATCGATTGTGTATGATTCCAGTTGTACTGTCTCGTTTGTTCTGCCCGAATTGCAGCCTCATGCTGTTCAGCATTGTATCATTAGTTCCATTAGCCTAAAAATAACTCGCATTTGATTTGCATGAATAGTAAATACTGCTTTGTTACATATATACGATTCAATGGATGTATCTTGAAGGTAAGATTCCATTGTAAAGGACGAATCATTCATTACATGCCTACGTACGACCCAACGTGTGTTGATGCCGATGCCCCCTTACATACAAGACACGTGTCAGTGACGGTGATTTAAACCTCATTAAGGTGACGATGTCCTGACACTTGTCCATATGTTGATGCGAGCCTCACGCCGTCACAACGGGGCTTAGTTCACGTTTGCGATTTGAAGGTTTAAATAAAATGTCTTGCAATCCATAAAATGTTGTGACTTGCCATCGGGTGGATACGCACTAAGAACAACACGAACAAATGTTGCTAACAGTTTTTTTTTTAATTCAAATGTAAGAAATAGAATAATTTACACTTTTCAGTCGCTCAGAAAATCTTCATAACTTCACAAAAATGGTGACATTCCCATAAAACTGCTTTGTACTGAATCGTAAATACTGTGATGTAACACACGAAGAAAAACCTGGACTACATTCTGCGCAGCCATTCCGGCAACGGTCTTTAGAGTTGCCCTAGGCATGACCAATGAACTTTTATTTTATCACAAAGAAATACAAATACATTTCTTAATAATCGACCAATGTTTGTAATGGATAAAAGCAGATGGTGACAAATGAAGAAAGTCTTCGATCACGGTATTGATGATCTGCTTCAGCCACCACTGCTACACATCGCAGAATGTTCAACCGGCTCCCTATCACCTGTGGTTTTTAAATTGGGGAATATCATTCTATGCAGCCTGGTTTTCATGAACTGATGAAAAATTGGGTGCTGTGGTGGCGAGATGTTAACTACCTCACCTGGTATACAGGAGGTCGTGGGTTCCATCCCGACCCTGATGAGATGTTAACTACCTCACCTGGTATACAGGAGGTCGTGGGTTCCATCCCGACAAAAGACCACTGTAGTTGAGGGTCGTTTCTTCTGTACTCGGTGGCAAGGTTATCAATTTTACCCACAAGTGATCTGACAACTCACTGCAGTGCACATATTATCCACTGCTGGGTTGATAGTGATTGAACGATAAACCCAATGTTGCTAGTATCAGTGGTGCAATCATCACCAATTAGTGACCCTAGGCTTTTGTGGAAATTCAACGTTTCCATAGGACAAGCAATTTTATCAACAGTGGTTCATACTTTATAGACTTCGCAAGGATGATTGACCGAGTTGGGCAGTGGTAGCGCATGCCTGTCATCCAGCACCGTGGAGGCAAGGGTTGGTGGATCGCACAGATGTTGCGAGCCTCCCTTCCCATGGGCGTCGAGGAAGTGCCGTACCCTGGATCGCCATAAATCGGTACAACTACACTAACCGCCATATGTTGCCATCTGGGTTGGGATAGAGTGTTGTGCCCTCGCACTCGTGGGCTTTCTCCGGGTGCTCCGGGTTCCTCCCACTTGTATCAATATACATTCATTGGCTGAAAACATCTTTTAAAATAAAAGCCAAATGCAGGAGCCTTCTGTAAATAGAGTCCTGGATAAATAGGAGCCAACCCCCATCGATAATTTTTAATATGCAACCTTTTGCACCCATATATACAAAGTATTAGCCAGGTGATCAGTACTTTCCTTCCTGTAATGAAAGGGCTGCATTTCTATTTGAGGCAGGAAAATGTATCTGGCTAATTTGCCTTCACAAATGTTCCCATGCCATGTACCCCCATCTCCTCTAAAGCAGCATCTCTAGATGAAATCTCTCGATGCTCCATCTCGACAATTGAATTTTTTTGCTCATCCCCACCCCCCACCAGCTTTTAACAAAGCCACGTGTTAAACAAGTATACACTCAGCTGAAGGCGTTCAGCGAAGATGCGTTTTGTTTTTTACATTATAAGGCAGTGGTGTACGGAGTGAGATGTCAGGTGACTTTGCGATTCTGCCATCCACCTCAGTACTGGAAGCTCCGTTTCGTCTGAATGTCGTCCAGTATCTGCTGCAGTTCATCGTCCTCGAATCGACCCTCCAGGCTGCGAATGGCCAGCATTCATGCACGGCATGGGTAGCAGGAGACGGGGAAACACAAGGGATTTGAATTCAGGTGAGAATGTCCTGCACAGGTGCACATGCGTTATGTGAAACTCCACTAAGGTAGGGATGAGATGGGAAAGCACAAAACAGGGGGTTTATTTATATACATGTTACTTTCCCCAATTGTATCCCCCAACTGTGCTATCAATGTTACGTAAAATATCCATTCGGATATCTCGCACAGCAGTGCCACCCTTCATGTTAGAAAACAGCCCACAGAAGTGGCTATCACAGAGCTACTTCCGAGATTGCTTCATGATGCACTCTACACAGTAGATGCCGTGTGTGGGCATCACTTTTACATTTGCCTTGCCACCGAGAATAATGTTCATCTCATGACAGTAGAAGTGATATGTTTCCTTCTCAGAGATGAAATTTAGTCAAATGAAGTGGCCAACTAAATGCAATAAAAATATAAATATATTGGTGACCAGACCGAGACAATCAACTCACTAAACTCAGGAATATGGCGTAATCGCAGGCAACAGCCTGAATTTGAACCCAGGCTCTAAGTGGTTGGTGCCAGCTCAGCACTCTGACCTCTAGAGCCACCCAGACACCTCTAGCCCGGCTCTTGGCAGATAACGCGGGCACTACCTGGGGATGAGAGCCTTGGCCTCCTCGGCTGTCTCAGGACACAGGTTGGCCAGACTTGCCAGCTCAAACTTGTGCAGCTTCTTCTGCAGCAGCAAACTGGGTCCGGGAGCCACAACAACAACAAGTAGCCATCAGGGAGGCCAAAGTGATGTGCTCACTGGGTGTGTGTCACAATCCATACATTGGGCACCGGTGGTGTCATAATCCAAATCATTATAAAAATTATAGAACAGCCTGTCCAACAGATGGGGTGATGGGATACATGAAACCTGACTCATCAGAAATTCACTCACCTGACCCTCACCACAAACCAATTTTTAATACAATGGGAAATCCCATTGAGATTCAATGGCTCCCACAGATTTCGAAACATTACAACATGTCTCATGCCAGGCTATTTTAATGGTAGAGAATATTAGCAGTGTCAGCACAGATAAAGTGAAGCATTGGATGACACCATAAATATAAATCATAATTATCTACGTAGCCTTTCATACGACTTGTCATTCATTTAAACCAGTGGAACAATGTATATGGTCTCCCCATAGACAAGCCGCTTATTATATAGACCCCCCCCCACGACCACAATTGGAACTTCTGCTGCCTACCGATCACGCACTCCGCACAACATTACTCTCATTCCCGTAAAAAAATACGTGTCTTGAGTGACGGTGGCTTATTCTTAGCTCTTTCGGTAAAGTCACGTTGAAGGGAAACAATAAAATAATAAAATATATATAAAACAATAAAAATTATCACGACGTTTCGACCATAACACAAACGGTCATCATCAGGTGTGAAAAACCAGTCAGGTGAGTTACTTGCCGTTGGGTTTTCACACCTGATGATGACCGTTTGTGTTATGGTCGAAACGTCGTGAGAATTTTTATTGTTTTATATATATATTTTATTATTTTATTGTTTCCCTTCAACGTGACTTTACCGAAAGAGCTAAGAATATGAATTACTGCAGTCACGAAAGCTTTCAATCAAAATTCGACGGTGGCTTCCTGTCCACCTGCGCACGCTGGCGATGGTCTCGCGGTTCTTGAAGCGGCTGAAGCGGCCCGTGTAGTTCAGCGTCTTCATGAAGAGCTCGGACAGCTCCTGCTCATCCTCGGCGCTCTCGTTCTGCTGCTTGCGGTGCTCCAGCAGCATGTGCACCTCGGAGATGAGCAGAGTCTCCGCGTTCTCAAACTCTGCGCGGAATTCACAGCCCACCCCCCCCCCCCCCCCCGTCGCGGGATTAAAGTCGGCAACCTCAGAGACCATCGATGAAATAGCGGCGCTCTCAGACTCTGCATAGAAGTAATTGGTGTTGCTGCTCTGCCCACCACGTATTCCCGCAGACTGATAAGCACATTATGCACGGTGGTCACTTGCCCGAGCACTATCCGCGCCTCCGACTAGCACGGTTGGCTACGTACGTGGCGAAAGAAGTTCAACATACACCCAGGCGCAGTACTGATTAGCGTCCGAGATCGGGTGCAATCCAGGGGATTTGGTCAATTTGGCCACAGGCATATATGACAATCATTACAATGTTATACAAAGCCATATCCCTGGTACTGCCTATATAAACTGTTGGGGCAAGTGCTTTTAGCGAGCACCTATAAAGGCTGGCACGAGGTGCTCACTCGCCACTGATGGTGAGCGGTGGCTCCCAACAACTACCCCACACACACACACAGATGCGACTCTGCGGCCGTCTGGAACGCTCTTCCTTCCGCTATTAGGAAGCCACTGGAGTTAAGCACTTTTAAATCATCTACATTGAAAACTAATTTTTTTGAGAACAGCTTTTTGTGTGTAGTTTGTTATCCTTGACACAGCACCCCTGATTAGCACGGTTGGCTACGTACGGTGCGAACATACATTATTACACATGTAAACACTCACTTTAAGACATCTACAGTACATAAATGACCTACGTATGTACAGCCAAGTTAGACAATAGACACCTCCATTTGAACATAAAATATCACTTTGGGTGGCTCTCAAAACCACATCAAATTGAACCAGACGGAGTAAATTACAATTTGTGTAACATGTATGATGCATTGCAACCACTGTGTAGTTTTTATATCGGCTAACACCGCTGATGTTTGTCACTGGCATCATCTTTTTGAACCTAGTTCGGACGATGGACTAAACGACTCGACACATTCGTCAACAACCAATGGCATTAAACTGATAAAAAAATATATATAACAGGCAACGTTTCGGGCAAAGCTCCTTATTCACAGCACATGCACATCGAGGCCAGACAGAGTGGATAATCGGAGTCGGAGACTGTGGGGCTGAATGAAAAGTAATTTCGTTAGAACTGCTTGTTATGCTCACTGTAATTATCCTCCCCCCCCGCGCACCTCCGATTGGCGCGGCCGGCTACGTACGGTACGAAAGAAGTTACGACACACACACACACCACACACCACGCGCGGTACGTAGCAAGGCTGATCTGGGCTACGAGCTCCCGGGTCACCTCTCCCCCCTTCCTCCTCCACCCCGGGCGGCTCACCCTTGGCGAACTGCAGCTGCGAGGCGTCCTCCTCGAAGTCTCCCTGCTTCGCGTCCACGCCGCCCGTCGCCATCGCACCGCCACAGGCCTTGGCCTTCCCCGTGACAGCGCAATCGATTTCAGAGAATCGATTCCACGTCCCGTAGGCGCAAAGGGTTTTTTTTCGCGCTGAGGAATCGATCCGCGGAAAGGGAATCGTGCCGTGGAGATTGGATCGAACGCGTAAAGGATACGGGTAGTTTGGGAGTCGTGACTTCCAACGAATCGGAAGCGTGTTGCAAATTAGCCGAAGATTATGACCAGCTTAATAAACGTTGTGTATCTTAAGTGTCACTCACAGTGGACATTTTCAAAAATAAACGGATGAGCTGCCTGGCTGACCCTTAAAAAAACAACAACACAATTTTCGTATTTCCCAGAATGCTGGCCGTAAATTATTTTATTTACATGTTCTTAATACTGTATACACCATCGTTGTACAGTACGTCGTTGTACAGTGCATCGTTGCAGAGTAATAATTGCACAGCACAGAGTCGCACACAGTAAAGCTCCATTGTTTATTTATTAACGTAAAGTCGTCGCCGTCACGCGTCACCGCCGCCGCCGCCTCCTCGGCACCGAAGCGCTCGACGGCCACCTTGCTCGGGGCACGCGGCGCGCAGTCGGCCAACGAAGGCCGAGCGGGCCGTGACGTCACAATAGCACCACGCCCCTTTCTCGATAATAAAGGGGGGGGTGGGGGGGGTTTGAGCGGTGGGGGCATTTTGGGGGGGGGGGGGGGTCTTAGATCGCGTTACATCTACGCGATCTAACCCCCCCGCCCCCCAGCAGTTGATCGCTAAATCCTGCGCGTCCCTCCAGCCCCCTTACCCAAGGTGGCCGCGCCGCTTCACAACACGAGCGCGCCGCGCGTCCCGACGACGTCTCACCACCCCCACCCACCCCTCACCACCCCCACACGGCGAAACGTCGACGCGGCACTTCGCAGGACGTGAAGTGGGTGGGAGGGGACGTGAAGTGGGTGGTGGGGACGGGCCTCTCCTCCCCTTTTGCCGGCCTCTCTCTCTCGCCTCCTCCCTCCTCCAGCAGTAGCAGCAGCAGAAGTCGTCCCAAACCCTTCTCCAGCAGCAGCAGAAGTAGCAGCAGCAGTAGAATAGCAGCAGTAGAAGTAGAAACAGCAGAAGTAGCAGCAGTAGAAGCAGCAGCAGTAGAAGTAACAGCAGCAGTAGAAGTAGCAGCAGTAGAAGTAACAGTAGAAGTAGCAGCAGTAGAAGTAGAAACAGCAGCAGTAGAAGTAGCAGTAGAAGCAGCAGCAGCAGTCGTCCCAATCCCTCCCCTTGTCGACCATGGCGCCCAAGCAGAGCGGCCGCGGAGCCGCCTCCGAGGAGGAGCTGCTGCTGCAGGACTTCAGCCGTTCCGTGTCCACCAAGTCGGCGGCGCTCTTCTACGGCAACGCCTTCATCGTGTCGGCCATTCCCATCTGTGCGTGAGCGACAACAGATTGATTTTGTTTGATTGTTGTTTGCGTTTGTGGGGTTTATTTCTTTATTTCCCCCCCCCCCACCCCGTGGGGGTGGTGGTGTGGTGTCTTCACTCGCGAGGAAAGTAACACGCAAACAAAATTAAAATGACCCAGCGCGTGCTTTTTGTAAGAAGCGTTGTAAGCTCCTGTCGCGAATTGAGATTTTAAAAAAAATTGTATAAACTCGTCCGGCGGGTGTTGTTGTATTTCCTAGTACGGATAGGTGCAACGCGACGTGTCGCTGCCTCTCAATGGTTGGCTGTCGGTCGAGGTGGCGCTCCTGGGCCAATTGGAGCGCGCCTCGTCTTTGGCAACGCCTAAGCGCGTGCGGAATTGTAATTGCGACTTTTAAATGGGGGGGCAAAAAAATATGATATCTTCACTTTAGCTACTGTTAACTTTAGGCGGTTTTGGGCTTGAAATTGATACTCAACCCTCGAAAGAAATATCTCTTCAATGAAAAGTCTGTGTCATTTTTTTAGACAGTTTTGGCGACGGTAATTTTATTTTGTTTAATTAATAACCCCTTTTGTGGCCACGTCCGTCTGAGGCCCTGTGGCACCGATCCATATGGCACTTTGGTTTTTGTTAATTTTCGTAATACAAAAATGTTCATCAGCCCGTGTCTATCTTCGGTCCGTTTCTCATTGCCACGTGTGGGAAAGTTGGCGCTGAGAGTTTGGCGTCGGTGGGAATTATTAATTTGAATCTTCACCCGTTTGAAATAAAATAAACTAGATTTTTTTTAATTGACCAGAATAAAAGCCACTGAGCTACGTAGCTCTCTTGCAGCAGCGACCTGGCCACTAATGATGCCTCAACGGAGTGGCTTATCACGTGGAAAGTTATAGCAGCAGCCAAATGCTCTGAACGCGTGATGTTGATTCTAACCGGAGGACCCGGAGAAGAATCAACGCGATCACGGGGAGAGACACACAAACTCCAAATATACAGCAGCAGACGTCAGGAATGAGATCAAACCCACGACCTCCTGTACACCAGGCGAGGTAGTTAACATCTCATAGCCACCGTGGTGATGATGAGAGAGACACGCACACTTCAAATATACAGGGTGGGGATCGAACCCACGACCTCCTGTATACCAGGCGAGGTAGTTAACATCTTATAGCCACCGTTATGATGATGAGAGAGAGAGAGAGAGACACGCAAACTCCAAATATACAGTAGCAGGCGTCAGGGGATCGAACTCACGACCTCCTGTATACCAGGCGAGGCAGTTAACATCTCGGCAAAAGCATCGTGTCGGTTCAATGTTCACGACGACGCCGTGTTGATGTTAATGACGCTTTGCTAATGGAATTCTCGTCGTCGTGGCTGTTGAACTTGAAGCAAAAGAGAACTTGGCTCTGCTGACACGGAGATGCTACCCTCCCACCCCGACCAGCCACGTGGATAATCAAGTTAGCGACACAGATGATTTACTCTGAAAGTCGCGTCCGTGTGGTTACGATTAGCAGGCAGAACGTGGTAAGTTGCGCATATATATTTTTTTCGATGGTGAAAATTAAAGTATGGTCAAACCCCTGTGACTGACATGGCATATGGGAGGCCTTGGTCCCATTGTTGTCAATTGGCTATGTATGGTGCGAAATAAGTTCAACATAAATACAACATACATTTTTGGGGTTATTTATGACTTGTGTTGCAGTTAATGTAGTTTAATTGGGATGTATAGGTTGCACAACCAAGTACAATCGATGGGTAACAGGAACAGTTGTCCCAATGACAACAACATCCACTATTAACAGAGTGGCTCTGGCATCAGAGCACTGATCAGTGATTACTGAGATAGTGAAATTTAATCTGGGTTTTGGCAGCCCGTCATTAAACCGTGTTCCTAAGTCTAGTGAGTTATTGGTCTCGGCAGAATTAACATTGACTGCAGGAAACCATATTAATTTGTAAGGTTTTTTTCCCAATGAATTTGATGCGAACAAAAAGAATACATTTTTGGGCATGCATGGCTTGGGCAAGGGCATTCTAGACAATGGTGGGTGGGATTTGTTGTGTATTTTCTCTCCAACACACCGGTGTGCTGTACTAGTAACGAATTGGCATGTTCTGTTTAAGTGAAAAACCTTACTAATTGGCTGTGACGGGTGGTGGTGGCTTTAACGATATATTTATATTTACGCGATCTAACCCAAAAAAACCTATGTTTTAGGATCTTCCAATTACCACATCACACACGCATGCTTCTTGCAAAGATGTGCTGCCTATGCGGTGTCCATGCGTGTGTGTTGCCCTTCCCCTGCAGGGCTGTACTGGCGGATCTGGCAGATGGATCTGTTCCAGTCGGCCGTGCTGTTCGGCGTGATGACCATCGCGAGCACCTGGCTGGTGGCCATGGCCTACAAGAACATGAAGTTCATTCTGAAGCACAAGTGAGTGTCCCGTTGGTTGAAAGCTTACCGCCTTGTATCAATCGTGGGGTTGTTTGGCCAAACTTCAGGCTGGTCAGTGCCGGTTGGTGAAGTGGGATGCTGGACTGGTTCAGTTGAATTTATTTTGCACTGTACATAACCAACCGTGCTAACCGGAGGTACTATCACTCGCCAATAGCATTCACCGGAGCCTGGAATCAGTTGGCTGATTTCATAGTGCATTGTGCTACTATGAGTATAGTCTTATGACAGTCACTGTTGACTTCCTTGAAGTGCATTTAAATGCTTGAAGAAGAGTGCTAAATATGTAGATTGTACTTTATTATGATTATAACAAGACTAAAACGGTGGTGCTAACATTTCTAGAGAGAGAGTACTAGCCACCGTTGTCCATCCTATTCGCGCAAACGATATCCCCATCAGAAGAGTCTTGAGTGGTTTTATGGAATTGTGCTGCATCGCCTGGGAGTTGTCTGAATCACGTGGGGTGTGCATTCTGCTCAGGGTGGTGCAGAAGCGAGAGGATGCGGTGGCACGTGAGGTTCTCCGCAAGCTTCCCGAGGCTGACAACAAGAAGATGTCCAAGAAGGAGAAAGACGAGAGGTGTGTAATGCACCACTCGTATTGAGCGATTCTCACTGTCATGATGCTCGTATTCAGTTGTGTAAGAATCGGTTATTGACAATTTATGCAAATGTTTGCACAAATGAAACGGAACGAATGAGTTGGCCAATAAAAGTGAGACGGTACAAACAACGTCAATATCAACCCACAAATCATTGCCGACGAAGCTGAGACCCATCAACTCATTCCACCAGACAACCCGGTTTAATCACAGGTTGCTGTCTGGGATTCGAACCTGGGACCTCAGCAGTGCCAGTAATAATTTGTGAATGAAAACGTGATTGTGAATAATTTCTCAGTGGGTGGTTTGTGAATCCAAATGTGATTGTGAATTATTTCTCGAAGGGGGGTGCAAGTAATGTTTGTGAATGAAAACGTGATTGTGAATTATTTCTCAATGTGGGGGGTCTCTTTTTTTCTCGCGATTGAACCCCGGTCCTCGCAGGATCCTGTGGAAGAAGAACGAGGTGGCGGACTATGAGGCTACCACCTTCTCCATCTTCTACAACAACACCCTCTTCCTCGTGCTCATCATTGTCGCCTCATTCTTCCTGCTCAAGAACTTCAACCCCACCGTGTATCCTTGTCGTGCCCTCTGGCCCCACCGGTTCACACTCCTGCTCGGTTCCACCTGCGCTTCGCCTGGGTTCAGCCGCGAACTTGTACGATGGAGTCTTCGGTCTTTGGAATTTTACGCAAAGCTTAAATGACTCATCGGTTTAAGAAGTAAAAATAGATTCTTACGCTGGCAATGTACATGTACAGCCCTTTTGCCAATCCACTGCTAGATGAGGGCCTCCCCACGCCAGGCAAGGACAGGGGGCTTATTTGACCATACTTCACGCTGGTCAGTGTTAACGGCAGGGAGCACATATGAACCTTATGGCGGGACCCCGGGGTCCCGAATAAACGGAAATAAAAATCGTAATTTATTTTTGGTGACTCCGTCCCACCGCGCACATAAACTCGCGACCCACCTGGCGTGGATCATTCTCTGTCGTGTCGTCCAAGCGCAGCGAGGATGAATGCGCGGAAGAGCTGAAAAGCGAATGCACTCCTTGCTCGGGTATGGGCAGGATCATAAGTCTTATCCAAAGCTGGTCAAACTGCCTCCACGACTTTAGTCCTTTATTTGGCATAACGGTATGCATAATACAGAGAAACTGCTCTCTTATCTTCATTATTATTTGTGACCTACCAATGTCTGCAGCCAGGATCAATCGATGACAATCCTATTACCTGCAGATATTTAACAGATGAGATGCATGGCACTGTTAATTCCTCCTATTTGATAATACTTCTCTTGTCCGTATGCATCTGTGCAGATAGGTTTTTTTTCGGTTAAGCCATAGTCCCCACATACCGCTCATATCAATGCGGATAAGAGGAGCGGCGACCCACTACTCTGTAGAGTAATATTGGTATAAACGCTTGTTACAATATGAACAGCGCATTGAAAACGCGTTCTATTTTATGTACTGTTTACAAAGTGTCTTCACAAATCCACACTGAGAAATACGATGATTGACAGAGGAGTGTAATTTTTTTATAGTGTATTTAAAAGAGCTACTGCAGGTAAGTAGTTTTCAGTTATAAAGGCATAGTTTAACAAGACAACACTTGCCACCATCCTTCAAACCCATTGGTGAGAAAGAGCAAAGTTTTTGTTTACATTATAATATGTTTATATTATATTATAATGTAATGTTTACATTATGATGTAATGTTTACATTATGATGTAATGTTACATTATAATATAATGTTTATGCGAGAGCTGTGGGCTTATGGGATCCCGGGCTCCTGCCATAAGGTTCATATGTGGAGTTCTCCAGGATAAAGATTTTGATTCTGGTATGGATTTTGCTACACTGACCTCTACTGCCTTTCATGGAGCCCCATGATTGCCTATGGCAACCTGTTGTGCATGGTGGTCACCATCTAAGCACTATCTAGGGGGTCACCCCTGCGCAGCTTCTGGGTGGTGGTGGCGGCTGTGCACGCCTCTCATGCAGCACTGTAGGCAGGGATTGGGTGGATCACACAAATGGGAAACTCTTTTCTTTAGGCATTTAGGTGCGATACCCCTGGCTTGCCAGGAGAAGGCGGTCCAGCAAAAAAAATGAGTGGATTCCACCTGTATGGGTTATAGTGTTTCCCCCTCGCACGCATTGGTTTTTCCCGAGTGCTCAAGATTGCTCCCACATGTAAAAACCCATTCATTGGTTGGCTCCGTACAATGTGAGAGATGTTTAACAAACGTACATGTAGACTACCGCATGGCTTGGGCAATTGTTGGTGGCGGTTCTCCGCGTGACTGCATTCCCACTTGTCTATGGTTACTCATGCCTCTAACCATCCTGTCTCGCTCTTACAAGTTGAAATTATTTATTGTATTATCATTATTGGCTTCTGAGATCTGTTGAGAATGGGCGCATTCGGGGTAAAATGTTATCTTAGGCAATCGTATTTGTCACAACCTAATTACGCAGGGTATTGTTTCATGTAATGAATCATTTTGTCTGTGGCCACTCTACAACTGTGACCTTGACTGTGATGCCTCTAATCAGAAACTACATCCTGTCCATGGGTTCCTCGGCCGGTCTCATTGCCCTGCTGTCGACCAGCCGCTAACATTCCTCACTCGGCGCCACAACTCAGGTACGTGAACTGTGCTCCGTTGATTATGTCCTCGAGGAGCAACTTATCCCACAGAAAAATTGGGTACAGCAGGATTAACTTGAATACCAACGCAGTATTCATCGGATTAGCATGGTTGGCTGTGTACGGTGCGAAAGAAGTTCAACAGATACACATACACAGCACTGCAGTATTGAAAATGTAAATACAGTAAAACCTTGGATTGCGAGCATAATTCGTTCCGGAAACGTGTTTGTAATCCAAAGCACTCGTATATCAGTTGTGATCACGTGACGCTCGGCAGACAGAGCGTATACGTACTCCTCGTATTGCAAGACCCTCACTCGTTTATCAAATTAATATTTATTTAAATTTTTGCTCGTCTTGCAAAACACTCGCAGACCAAGTTACTCGCAATCCAAGGTTTTACTGTAGCTATATAGAGAACTGCTGATTGACCTGGGAGTATGGAGTGCTGTCAGTAATGTTTGTGCTTGCATTACACTGACATAGCCAGATGAATGGGACTCCATTATACTTGCTGTTTGTGGGTTAGTGTGGAGACTGGGTTGGTGTCAAGGCTTGTAGGTTCGTGTTGGGGCTGTATTTCTGCATATATATCTATCTTTACAGATGGATGTAGTACAGTTATTGCATGCAAATTATCATGGGGAGTGTGGGGCTCCCAGTATCCACGCAAATGCTCCACCAGCTGTAATGTGCGTTATCCATAATATAGGTTTTTTTGGGGTTAGATTGCGTAAATATGTGTCGTTAAACCCGCCACCACACGACACAGCCACTTAGTAAGATTTGTCACGTAAACAGAACATGTCAATTCGTTACTAGTACAGCAGACCGGTGTGTTGGAGAGCAAATCCGAGTGACTCCAATAGAGGGCGCTGTGGCGGTGTATTTAAAGGCCACTTGTTAACATTTTCGAACTTAATCTTAGTTGCAGTTTCATTTATTTGGTATATCCCTGTGAGCCATTCGGCTCTTGAATCGGGTGCAACCGCAACAAACAAAAACATGAACAAGAAAACATCTTAAAGTGACTACGCGCAAACAGAAAAATCCAGGAAAAAACGGCAAAGTCTTACAGAAAAAGCACTGTATATCAATGCTGTGTGCAAAAATCCAACCCTCTGGGACACACACACAGCCTAAGTAAGTGATTATAATTTAATATGGGGCCAGCTGGGTTTTATTTGATTGACTTCTACAGCAGTCGGATGACAGGAGGGATGTCTGCTCACACGGTGCTTGTGATTCCCTCTGAGATTGGCTGCCAATGTCATTAAAATGGCAGTCGGCGCATTTGGTTTGGGCCCGAATAACCCCTGATGAAGACTGGACAGGCTGTGCCACTGCAGCCTGGCAGTCAAAATATATTTTGTCGATTTAAAAAAAATGTCTGAAGTGGAAACTGCCTGCTTGTTTTGGCCCAGCAAAAACTTCTTAATACATTTTTTATTAAATAACACTGTTGGAAAAAGGTATAATAGGTAAGATTCTGGGCAGTTGCCCTTAATAGCACATAATTTACGTGTTTACATTTTTTGGCAGTGGTATTGATGACTGTTTTTTTAGTTACTTGTGCTTATGCACGAGTGTCACCTCAGCATTTCTAATTTTATTGAAGTTTGCGTTCCCCCCCATTTGTATCCCTGCTGAACTACCGCGCTATTTGAAGTGAGCGATCATTATTTTAAACACGGCGTATATCTATACTTTTGACTTGACCGGTTTTTTTTATTGACAGGTAGTAATTTTGATTTAAAGCTTTCGTGACTGCAGGGATTCATATTCTTGGTTCTTTCGGTAAAGTCACCACGTAGAAGGGAAACAATAAAATAATTGTATTTATATTTTTATTATTTTATTGTTTCCCTTCTACGTGACTATCCCGAAAGAACCAAGAATATGAATGTGTCGTTAAACCCGCCGCCAGCCGACACAGCCAATTATAAGTGTTTGTCACGTAAACAAACTATGGCAATTAGTTACTAGTTCAGCACACCGGTGCGTTGAACTGGCATCACCAGGCAGACAGCTACAAACCTGGCTGTTGTTAGCCTGAATAAGTAGTAATCTATGAAAAGTAAGAATAGGTTTTTGCCCTTTCTGACAATGAAACAGGAGGTGTTAAGAAGTTCAAACACCATTTAGAAACTTTCTGCAAGAAATCAAGTCTACATTAACAACACTTGTGGTGAATGCACATTATTACCAGAGCATGTTTGTTTTTGCATCTCACCATAGCAAGTACTGTGTGTGGTTAATGCAGCTACTTGATTCCTTCCAAATGGTATCTATTTTCCGTTTGAACATCGTAACACCTCCTGTTCTATTGTCAGAAAGGGTTAAAACCTATTCTTACTTTTCATAGATTACTGCTTGTCGTGAGAAAAAAAAAACGGTCAAGTCAAGAAGATAGATATACCCCATGTTTAAAATAATGATCGCTCACTTCAAATAGCGCGGTAGTTCAGCAGGGATACGAATGGAGGGGAATGCAAACTTCAATAAAATTAGAAATGCTGAGGTGACACTCGTGCATAAGCACAAATAACTAAACAAACATTCATCAATACCACTGCCATAAAATATAAACACGTAAATTATGTGCTATTAAGAGCAATTGTCCAGAATGTTACCTATTATATGTTTAACCAAAACAATGTTATTTAATAAAATGTATTAAGAAGTTTCTGCTAAGCATCTTAACACCTGTTTTTTTGCCAGGAAGGGTAAAATCTATTGTTATTTTTCATACTTTGATACTGAAATAGTAAATCTGTTTTTCCTTTTGCAAAAATCAGCTGCAGGATGCTTTATAAACACGTATTGTACGGCTTGTGTTAGGTTTGCAGTTAACAAACCATTGAAATGCTATATATATGAATCCCATCAGTCACGAAAGCTTTAAATCAAAACCATTGAAATTCTGTTGGTCTTGCCATATTATACGTGCCATGTACACGTTTTCATAACGTATCCAAAGTATTGGTGCAAAACTGCATTGAACTGTGGTTTCTTTGTCATCTGCATTTTTGTCCGACTTTGACTTTGTCATCTGTGTTTGTCTCTGTGCACACACTCTTCTGGACTGCTGGTGACCCTGGACTATCACCTGCTTGCCCATTAGCTGGAAGTCTTAGGATGGTGTTTGGAAGCCACACGCTATCACTGTCAATTGCATTTATGAATTTATAAATGCAGCATGTCTTGAGGTCCGTGCTGAAATTTGTCGTCGAACTTTCAATAAAAGCCGGTTGTTTACTTAAGTTTGTGTCACAAAATGTGTAATTTTTAAAAAATGAGAATCTTTATTTAGACTGTCGGAATCCAATGAGCCGTGAAGCTGTTTTTTTGCAGATGTCCAGTTGGACATCCTTTCACAATGCTGGCAAAATCGCCCGATGATGCTGGATGTAATTGCCAGCAAAATGTCACGGCACTCAAATTGTAAATGTTGTGGAATTACTCTCCAACACACCACCTGCGGGCCCTGAAGTACTAAATAATTGGCACGTTTCATTTCCGTGACAAACCTTACTAATTGGTTGTGTCGGGTGGTGGCGGGTTAACGACACATTTATCCATAACTTAGGTTTTTTTGGGTTAGATCGCCTAAATATAAATGTCGTTAAACACGCCTCCATCCGACAGCCAACTAGTAAGGTTTGTCACATAAACCGAACGTGCCAATTCGTTACTAGTACAGCAACACCGGTGTGTTGGAGAGCAAATGCACAACATTTACAATCCGAGTACGACGTTTCGCCAGTAATTGCAACTAGCTTCATCAGGCTACAGCCAGATTTGTGGTGAAATCCTCCTGTTTCACAATGCTGGCAAAATCGATCTAATCCAAAAAAAAAACTTTTATTATGAAAGCTCAGGGGAGGAGCCAGGATTTTCAACCCGGGGTGACATTCAACAAATGTTAATTTCAAGAATGATTAGAGAGTCGGGCTGTTGAGCTGGAGTTCAGACGATACGATTGAGGCGCGGGCGCATCGACTGGAAGTGCTCCATGATTTCGTCGTTGGTGACGCCTTTTGCGACGTCGTTTTCGACGAACAGGAGCATCGCGTCAGTAAAGTACTCGGCTCCCATGGTGGTACGCAGTCGGGTCTTAATGTGCTTCATCGCGCTAAAGATGTGCTCGGCTGTGGCGGTGGCCACCGGTTGGTTCAACACGAGGCGCACCAGGCGGTAGACCAGGTGAAAGCCGGAATCTCCGCGGCCGCTTGTCGCCAGGTTGATGGGCAGCATTGGCAGCGTGTTCACATTCTTTGGCTCTTCATGTCGCCGGATTTCCTGTTCGAAGTGGAGCAGCTGCTGCTCGAGGAGAAGCATGTCGAGATCGGGAAAATCGCGCTTGTAAAAATCACAGGCCAGCTCCAGGATCTTGCTGACGTTGAACGACTCAAATCGATTGCGGGGCGATAAATGGACCGCCAGCCGCAACGTCTTCATCGACTCCGCGCTGAAACGCAGATCGAGCTCGACCAGCATCTTGTCGATCGAGGTGTTAAAGAGGTCGATGTGAAACACGTGGTACTTGGTGATGACGTAGGTGCAGCGCCGAGGACGTCCAGGGCGGGTGTAGTTCGCGTTCATGTCGACGACGGGTACTTCGTTGACGTCGCAGAAGGCGTTGACGTTCTTGAGCAGATCGTCGTAGCCGTTCTCGCGCAGCTCCTTCAGCGACTCAGTGGCGCAATCGACACGCCGCATCGCATTGACAACGTCCTGGTCCTCTTTCTGCAGCGCCACGTGCCAATCGTTCGTGATCTTAAGTAAGCGCTCCGTCAGGTGCAGGCAGAACGCGAACTTGAACGAGAACATGTCGTTGAGAAGGCGATGAGCTTCGGCCCGTTGCTCTGCCTTGGCGCCGTCCTCTTCCACGTTCTGGATGACGACGGCAGTCGCGTTGAACATCTCAATCAGGCAGTGCAGCGAGCGCCAGAAAGGCGACCACCTCGTGTTGCCCGCCGCCGACAACGCCGTCTCCTGATTCTGACCGCGGTCGGTGGAGACCGCCAGCTCGTCGACCAGGTCGTCCACGAGCTTCTTGTGCTCAGCGAGCAGTTTGTCGCTGCGCTTGCACGAGCTGGTGGCAGTGTGGATTGTGTCCTGGACGAGGTCAAAGAACACGGCAAGGTCGGCGACGCGATTTGTGCAGGCAGCGACGAGAGCGAGCTGCAGCCTATGAACCCAGCAATGCGTGCAGTAGGCCATGTCGTTCATGGCCTTGATCAAGGTCTGCAAGCCAGCGATCTCACCGCTCGTGCTCGACGCGCCATCGTATCCTTGGCCGCGGCAGGTCTCAATAGGGCGCTGGCGACTCGAGAGCGGGTTGACAATGGCGCTGCAGAGGGTGGGCGCACACGCGTCCGACACGTGCTGAATGTCGACGAGTCGCTCGCGCAGGATGCCCGTACTGACCTCGACAATGCGGTTGACGACGACCAGCTGCTCCTTCTTGCTGACGTCACGCGACTCGTCCGCCACGATGCAATGGTACGCGTCGCCAATCTCGGTGTCGAGGTGCCGGCGCACCAGTTGAGCGTGAGCATGGATCAGGTCCTTGTTCTGAACGTCGGGGCTGGTCACGGTCGCATTCTGCGGCGCGTTCTCCCAGGTGATGGCCGCAAGCAGTGCGTCGCGCTTGCGTAACATGTTGAGAATCTCCAGACAATTGCCCCGGTTAAGAGAGCCAGGCAACTCGTGTCCCCGCATCGCAATGCCCCGGTTCATGCAGACGCGCATGACGTCGACGGAGGCGTCCAGGCGCTTGCGGTTGCCGTCAATAGTTTTGGCATTCTGTCGGGCCAGCCCAGCGTCGCCCGTGATGACGTGCTGCCGGGCGTTGACAAGGTCCCTGGCCTTCTTCACGGCCATGTTGTGTGCCGACTTGTGCCCACCCTGATGCTTGAGTAGGCTGCAACTCTTGCCACCGATCTTATTCCAGGTTGAGGAGCCGGGGGAGTAGATGAATTCCGACGCAACGTCATCTGCGCTTGACGACGGCGGGAAGAGGTAGCAATAGAAGCAGTAAACAGACTCGCTGATGAACGACTACTCGAGCCAGTCGAACTGAACAAACAAAGACGCCGTCGGGCGGCGGGCAGCACCGCCAACGAACCTGGACGGGTATTTCAACGTCCCGGTCAGGCCAGGTTGTGGAGCCGGAGGCGGTACGAACCGTTCCGCTTGCAGATACGCGTAGCGCATTACTTGGGCGTCCGACTCCGCCATCGCCGCCATCGGTAGCCTCGTGGCGGGGTCTCGATCCGGAGCGCGAACATTTCGTAGCTGTCGCTCTTGCTCATCGGACTGTGGCGAAATCCGTTCTTCATCCGGCGGCGAAGGCGAACGATCACGCCTCCGCTGAAGGGCAGGCTCGTCTTGCGCTTCAGGAGCAGGCCAAGGACGACGCGCTAAGAAATCGGCTATACCCCACGCCATCGGTTGGCGACACACTCTGACAATGCAGTTGCACGGAGTCCGCCAGACCGAGTGTCGTACACTTATACGCAGAATGTTTCAGATTTTCGATTTTTTTTTGGGGTGACAATTGTCTACCCTGTCACCCCCCTGGCTCCGCCCCTGTGAAAGCTAAGGAAGTTACTAAATATAAATACAAACTTTTGAACGGGCACGCCCCCTGCATCATCTTTAGTTTGTGGGACTTTTTTCTTCGCCTTCCAAGCATGTATAGTGTTTGCAAGGGAATGTACATGTCTGAAATGGAAAACTAGCAATATATGAACAGAAGTAAACAATATATAACATCAGGGGTGGGAGTACGGTGTTGGTGGCACAGTGGCAAAGCGCACCAAAAACATCTGGCAACAGCGTGTGTTTAAAAGGTCTGCTGATGAGAGGTAGAAATCTGAAACCAGCCCGAAAGTGTTCCTTTGGACGAGTTGAAGGGTTGTCCCTGGCGGTCATCGCGTCATCCTGGGCCGTGCCACTGTGCTGTTCGCTTCTCTCGTCCCACGTTTTCTACCCTGCCCCCTCCCCAATCGAGTGTCACATGTTAACATTTGATGATGCTGCGTTGTCAGTGGTGCACAACAAAACCCAACATTCTTTAATAGCACTGCCTTAAATAATTATATAGGTGATGTTATTGGGCAATAGCCCTTTATAGTGTAAAGGAGTGTCAGCCCGGGTGAGTCTTGAACTTCGTGTTTGTTATGTCTGCCGCACAGAGCCCGCACCGTAGTTTTGTTCCCACTCCGATTAGCACTGTTGGTTACGTACGGTGCGAAAGAAGTTCAATCTACGTACGAATGCCACGCATCGGGGGATTACTCAGTTTAGGTGTTCCACCCCGTCTATCCCACCCTTCTCTTCCCCATCCTTTCTGGAACTTTCCATGTCTCTCCACCAATCCCCATCATTTATCCTGACGGTATCCCAACTGACCCCTAATTTTACATTTGGTTTTACCTGATGACCAATCGGATTTCAATAGTTCTCCTCGCCAATGGGAGCCGAGCGTTCTTCAAACTGGCAAGCCCTTAGACTCGGGTGGGTGCGTTTTATTTATTTCCTCATGGGCGTTTGCCTCTCGGCATCCATTGCATAATTGTCGTTTGTAAAGCGTCATGAGAAGCGATTGCACGTAGATGCCGCTGCTGCACACTGAATTTGTTGCTTGAGCAAAAAGGTAGCTGTAAATTTGGTCCAAAAAGACGAGTCGTCTGATGGGGAAGAGCATAGCAGTGTCCTAAGAATCGTATTTATCTCTCGAGTCGTTGCATCAATTTTCTATGCTGCCTTTCTTATACAGTACTGCACCGTGGCATCTTCATCAGCATCTGGTAGGAGAATAAACGCTAAAAACTATTAACTATTTTACCAGGAAAGGCCGACTGAGCTAATATATAGCTTTTTTTTTCAGAAACGACCTGGCCACAAATTATAACTCACCAATGTGGCTTATCACGTGGAAATGTACAGCAACCACATACTCTACAAAACGCACGTGGATTCTGAATGCGGAGGGGAAAACCGGAGGAGACCTGGAGAAAAATCCACACGACCACGGGGAGAACACACAAACTCCAAATATACAGGCGTCAGGGTTGTGGATCGAACCCACGTCCTCTTACATACCTGGCGAGGCGGTTAACATCTCACCACCAACAGGGCAGTGAGGGAATGTAACGTGAAGAGTGCATGTGAATGCGCTTACCCTCCCTATCAAAATATGCTGACACCAGCCACCGACAGGCCTGGGCACGTGAACAAAACAAACTCATTA